GTGAACCCCATCCTGCCCTGTTGAATGGTCAGTGCATTGCCAGCATCATGGTGAAAGTGCTGTTGTTCCTGCTCCAGAGAGGGTCTTTCCCCGGTCCGCACATTGGGGGTCTTTGGCCTTCTGGAACCACTGAATTCAGCCCTGCACACTCCCTGCTTGGGCTGATAATGCTTTTTTTTTTTTTTTTAAAGATTTTATTCATTTATTTTTGACAGGGAGAGAGACACAGCGAGAGAGGGAACACAAGCAGGGGGTAGTGGGAGAGGGAGAAGCAGGCTTCCCGCTGAGCAGGGAGCCCGACGTGGGGCTCGATCCCAGGACCCTGGGATCATGACCTGAGCTGAAGGCAGACGCTTAATGACTGAGCCACCCGGGCGCCCCCGATTCTGCTATTTGAACTTGGCCTTTGGACTCTGATCTGGGAGGTAGCACCAACCCTGTAAACCCCATTCCTTCCTCTCAGAGGCGTGGTTCCACTAGAACTGTTGCCAGGGGTACCACAGGCCCCTGCCACACTCTGCAACCACCCCTCAAATATTACCCTTCCTCAGAGCATCATGCCTGGCTGTCCTACTAGGTGCTGCCCACGGGGTCTCTGAGTGAATTTTTCATTCATTGGATACCTGTTGAACACTTACTGTATGCTAGGTGCTGGAGACAGAGCGATGGGCCAAAGCAGGTGCAGTCTGTGCCTCTGTGAATCCACAGGCTGGAGGCAAGGTGCATGTTAATCAAATGCTCACACAGGGTGTGTGTTTATAAACTGAAGGAGACAGGAATTTAATTCTGTAAGAGCATTTATCAAGGTGCCTGAACTTATCTGGATGGCCAGGGAAGATGTCCTCGAGGAAGTGGTATTTTGAGCTGAATTCTGAAGGGTGAACAGGAATTAATTACATTGAGGAGGGAGGAAGAGAAGGGCTGACCAGGCAGGAGGAACTGCATATACAAAGGCCCTGAGGGGACTCGTGTGTCATTCCGAGGGCCCCAGCAGCTGCTGGTGGACCTAGGTCACTGAAGGTGCCCATCAAGGAGGACAGCTGGAACAGGGCTGGCGGGCTGAGCAGGAGTGTGGCTTGGGCACTCAGGGCACCTCAGATCCCAAGGCAGCATCTGGGCAGGAGGGTGGATAGGCATGGTGAGAGGCCAGGGCTGGGCAGGCGAGGCTGGCGAGGCAACTCTGGGAGGACCGCCCGACCACCTTGGCTTCCCTCCTTGCTCCGGGCCCCTCTGGTGCCGCTGGGCCTTGCTGTGTCTTTAAGGGCTCTGCGCTCCTCTTCCCGTCACTGACGTCAGGGCGAGGGGCGGGCCAAGATTTGCCTTCCCTTTCCTCGAAAGGGGAGGGGATTAGAACTGAGTGGCCCATGATGGAAAGAGGGCAAGTCCAGGGCTGCTGGAAGCCGGGGAGTGAAGGTGGAGGCTAACATGGGGTGAGCTTGGGCGCTATACTGTGTGTGTGTGTGTGTGTGTGTGTGTGTGTGT